AGGTCATATGTCGTGAAACGAGCTTTCTCAAGTAGAGCATTAATATTAGCTGATATGGATGGAAATGATCTACTTTATCTTATAAATTCTGATGCTGTGAAAAAGTACTATGCTTGAAAAAAATAAAAAAAAAAGAGGACTCAAGTCGAAAACCTCAAGATGGTGATTTGAGTCAAAATGAGGTTTATCTAAGTTGAAAACCTGAAAAGACAACTTAGATAAGGTGAATATAACATCGCATATGGAATTTTATTGGCAAGGAGGCTAGCATGTTATGAGGGGCTCTAAGTTGTTAAGTGCATTGGGTGGTTGAATTTTTTTAAAAAAACTTCAAGATATGTTATCATGATTGTCCGATTGTTTATTTTTAGGCATCATCTCTCCATACCCATTTTTGTAATTTTTTCTTTTTTCAGTAGCCAAAGTTTGCTATCATTTTTGCTAATAAAAGATATTCCACTTCATTCTTTGTGTTTCTCTTTTTGTTAATTATTTCCTAGCTATTCCTATTCTTTTCTCTTTAATACCTTACAATGGAATAAATGTGTGAATATGTTCTTACTTTTTGAAATTGAAATAATAATTAATAAATGAATAATAGCATGAAAGATTTCTACATTACATTGGAAAGGTTGAGAGTGATAAAGGCAAATTTGAAATGTTTAGTTCCTGATAAGGACATTGAATTTGAAAAGAAATTTTTTACAAAGAGAATATGAGAATTAAATGAGAAAGATGATTAAGAGTTACGCTAATTTGGTCTTTGAAGATTAAAGGGTTTGGAGCCCAAGAAAAGAGCTTGAGAAACTTGAGTACCATAATTGAATGAGAATTAATTGTCTAGCATTTACATAGAATGTATTGCATTTCTAAACGTCTAGCGCATAGCATGTGCTGCATGTGAAAAGATCTTGTGCATAAGTTTATGAAGCAAGGATATTCTAAGATCCCACATAGAGAAGACAGTCATGAAGACTTTTCATTGTAAGAGTTTCAAATTCTCGTTTGAAAAGAAGCTTATGAGGTAAGATTCTAATTCTTGAAAGAGGATATTTTTCAGCATTATGAATGATTTGTAATACCTCCGAACATAATCTCATAAAACTTCTTCAAACATAATTTATGACTTTTTTTATTAGAGGAGCTTTGTTTATTTTTTCTAAAATTATTAAGCCTCTGATTAGAAGAGCTTTGTTTATTTTTTCCAAAGTCGTTGAGCCTCTTATTAGAGAGCTTTGTTTATTTTTTCAAATTCGTTAAACCTTTGATTAGAGGAGTTTTGTTTATTTTTCCAAAATCGTTGAGCCTCTGATTAGAGGAGCTTGGTTTATTTTTTTCAAAATCGTTGAGCCTCTGATTATAAGAGCTTTGTTTATTTTTCAAAAGTCATTGAGCCTCAGTTTAGAAGAATTTTGTTTATTCTCCAAAAATTATGAACCTCCGCTTAGAAGAGTTTTAGGTAATTTAGCAAATTTGGATGTCTGATTAAGAAGTGAATGTGTTAGCAAAAGCAGAGTGTCTATGTCTTGGCACAATTCTTGTTGCACAAAAAAATGCAAAGAGAGATAACTGTAGACACACAATTTGGTCCAGACCAGGATCAATTAGACCTGGCCCAATAGGGTCAGTTAAGCCTAAGGATTGGTTTTAATTAAATAGTTATTTATTTATTATGTTATTTATTTTATTTTATTTTTTTAGATTTTATATGTTTTTGATTAATTTTTGTTTGATATCAGGAGATAATGATAAAGATTAGAATAATTAAAAATAATAAAAAATAAGAATAAATCCTGCCATGAATAAGGCTGGTAGAGTTATAGGTGAATTTATCCAACATAAGATAGATTCAATGATTAATCTGATAATCCAGAAACCTAATCAAAAAAAGAATTCATATTAGTCAGGAACTCTAAGATTGATCCTTATAAATACCCATTGATCAAAAGAGAACACACAAAAAAGCAGAAGGACATAAAACAAAAGCAAAAAAAAAAAGTGTTTAGAAGAGCAGAGGCGGTTCTAGAATTTTTAGAATTTTTTTTTGGAAATTTTTTGGAAATTTTATCATATTTCGATCAATTTTTTTACGCCGTTTAAATTTTTTGACGAGATTTCGTCAAACTTTCCAGTTTCTGAAAAGTTTCTTAGTTTTCGGTGTCACACTCCAGAAACCATTGAACATTTTGATGAACTTTCGGTGACCCTACCCAGATTTCGATGACAATCCCAGAATCCGGTGAAGGATTCGATCGGTGTTCTTAAATCTTAGAGAGAGTGGGAGAGAAATAAAGGAAAAAGAGAGAAGGGAGAGGAGAAATCTATAAAAAGATCAAATTCAACCTTATATACCTTGTCAACACGACATTATTTTGGCGTTAAGAAACCCCCAGGATCTGCGCGTTTCTATTCCGATCGACCCGACCTGAAGCATTGACCCACTTTTGACCCGTCTTCAACTTTTGACTCAAGTCGAGTCGAGCCACGAGTCATGCCCCGAGTAGCGCCGTTCCAACCTTTTCCTGTGTTTGTAGCCAAGCCGTCCCTAGCAGCTCTTGCTGAGCCTTTTTTGGTATTTTTTTAAAAAAATTAGTATTTTATTTATGTGTTTTTTTTATTTTTGCATGATTAAATTTAAGAAAAAATATAAAAAGTAAAAAAATAAAATTTTGAAAATAAATAATAATTATCCAATGATGGGATTTATAGAAATTTCAAATGGTAAATTTTTGTAGAATCTCTAGGTGAGGAATTTTATCTAAATTTATCCAAAACGGTGGATAATTTAGATAAAGTTTCAACAACAATAATTAATATTTATTTTCAAACAAAAAATAATAAAAATATAAAAATATAATTTTTTTGGAATTAAATATAAATTACCCAAAGATGAAATTCTTGAAATTTTCAAATGGTAAATTTTTAAGAAATCTTTAGGTGAAAAATTTTATCTAAATTTATCACAAATGGTGAAATAATTTAAGTAAAATTTTAATAAAAGTAATTATATTCTTTTCCAAATAAAAATTTAGGTTGAAAATATTTGATAATTATCCAATGATGAGATTCTTAGAAATTTCAAATGGTAAATTTCTAAAAAATCTCTATGTGAAAAATTTTCTTTAAATTTATCCCAAATGGTGGAACAATTTAAATGAAATTTCAATGAAAATAATTGTCATATTATTTCTTTCCAAAAACAAAAGGGAAATAAAAAGAATTTCTAAATAGGTCCAAATTGTGAAAATTTTAAAAATTCAAAAGGAGAAAATATTTTTAATTTAGCTCAAATTATGAAATAATTAGATATATTTTCGACAAAAAAAGAATAATAATTAAGATTTTCAACAATGGAGCCTTTTCAAAAAAAAAAATAAATGGGATTCTTGAACACTCTTGAGGTGATAAAATATTTTAAAAGTTTTACCAGATTGATGAAAGAATCTTATAAATTATTTTCAATATTTAACATAAAAATTAGAAACTATTATAATCAAAACCCTATGATAAATTTAAAATAATGTGGTACAATCATTTGGATGGATATGTAAGGGTGCTATAATATTTTTTTACATGTAATCAAACTCTCGAATTCTGTTTTAGTTTGTAAAATCGAATTTATTTTTTTAAAGACCTTTAGTCAAATTTAAGAGCTCCTTAAAATAATAAATTTTTTAAATGACCAATCATACTTAAATAAAAAAATTAATGATAACTTTTTAATTTTTTAAATTTAACTATAAATTTATAAATCTATATATATTATCACACCATATAATATTGTCACTTTTTCATCACGAGAGACGCATATTCTTTTGAGGCAAGAATTGTCTTTCATTGGGAATTACGTATGTAAACTAAACATTGTAATTGAGGAATTTGGTTTAACTTACTTTCTTCCCATCTCCCTTCCCCCGCCACCCCCCCCCCCTTTTTTTTTTGTCCTGGTAATTCTCGGGCAGTGATGAGTGATGCCATGCGCCTTTGATGACACAACAACGGAGAAGTGACACGCGAAAAGCATAGTAGGGGTAATCTATAATTTTACCCCCTTTCGTCAAGACAGGTTGTTGATGAATGGTGAGTTGATGATCAACCCCCTCGCTACGCTTATAACTCCTTGAAAAATGAGTAGAATCTCGGACCTTGACGCAAGGGCAGTGGAAGTGGTTTTTTTTTTTTTTAATATGCTTCGAAATAATCGCTTGCTCACTATAAATTATCCCCCTTTCTTTAACTGTGTATTCCGTCTAATTTAATCGTTACATTTATTAGAAACTAATGTGTAATAACATTCATGTACAGAGTTGGTTAGCCAGATGGGAACTTGACGGTTGGCTCTTGGCATGTGAAGTGATTCTTCTGCTAAAGCCAAACGCTGCAAATTGGCCAATATGAAAAAGCACGTTGACCTACTATCACCAAGCATTTCCAGTGAATTATTTTACTTTAAAATGGTGGATTTTTAATTTTATATGTGCCTCAGCTTAGTTTAAATGCTTGCCCAAGTTCATTAATCCATTTCAGATATTTCCCCAATTTTTTAAAGTTCATTCACTCCATTTTCCAAGTGAGGCCTGATGTTTTAAAATAACTGGACCATTTCATTTGTGGTAATTATAACTTCTAACCATATTCTTTAGAGTCAATAACTGTACCATTTCATCTGTGGTAATTATAACTTCTAACTATATTCTTTGGAGTCCTTTTCTCTGCGCCGCTCTGCTTGCATCACTCCAATACTCCAACTAAGTTTTCCATTTTTTGCGGGCCCATACGCATTTGACATTGCTGCCTATCTACCAAGTTCTTGGTCACCCTAATGAAATGATGAAAACCGTTAAAAGCTTTTAATTAATAAAGAACAATAAAAAAATAAAAAAAATTATAATATATAAATTAGTAATATTTTATAAGAAAATACAAGAATTGACAAGCGTACATAACTCAATAAAATATTACCGCTGCCCAGTAAAAATCATGCAATTTAAAAGGCTAGAAGCAATGTGACCTTTAACTATTCAAGGTACAACTTTTCTTCAACTACTCGAGCGTCTGTCAAAAGTCGACACGACACGACTTTCTTCATCCACTCCCTCGCATCAGCCTGTCAATTCACCTTCCCAAAATTCGCCACCGCTACAGGCGCCCTCCTCCAGTTCCTTCAGCGGCTCCACCACTGACCCAACCTGTCCCTCACCAAGTTCCATAAATAAAAAACAGAGAAACAGAGAGAGGTCTTGAGCATAGGTTGAAAATGGGGTGTGGGAATGTCTTCTACACCTTAATCATAACTTTCTCAGTAGCGCTAATCACCTACAACATCCTCATCTCATCCAATGCTCCTCTAAAGCAAGAGCTTCCAGGCCCTTCAAGATCATCAATTGTTGATCCCATAATCAAGATGCCAGTAGAAAGATCAAGAAGATATGGGTCAGCTGAAAAGAAGAGGCTGTTTCACACGGCTGTGACAGCTTCAGATTCAGTTTACAACACTTGGCAGTGTCGAGTTATGTACTACTGGTTCAAGCAGTTTAAGGATGGACCAAATTCAAATATGGGTGGGTTCACTAGGATCTTGCACTCTGGTAAACCTGACAAGTACATGGATGAGATTCCCACTTTCATTGCTCAGCCTTTACCAGCTGGAATGGATCAGGTATTTCTTTTTTCTTTTGAGTTGCTTACTTCATATTTCAATTATGCCGAAAATGGAAACTACTTTGATTAGACTACAATAAGTTGAGTATTATTCAATTTTAAACGATAACTTCCAATTTGTACTTTTCCTAAAAGGGTATAAAATGAGGGAATTTGTATCAGGTTACTTTTTGTTGAATGTATTTATAAATTTCTGTTATTCCGGTTGAGCATGAATTGAGAAGTATTTCAACCTCTATATTGCAGAAGAAAAAAACCAATACAACAGCTGTTTTCTTGATATCCAACTTTATAAATGGTATTCTGAGCTTTTGACTAGATCATTTGACTAAAACTGACGTAAAATTTTAAGTTTTTTAAGGCTCATGATTCTTATTTCTGTCTATGTACTTCTTTCTGTACTTTTATGTTAATCACAGGGTTATATAGTCCTCAACAGACCTTGGGCATTTGTGCAGTGGCTCCAACAAGCAGACATAAAAGAAGAGTATGAGATTCCTGTTTTCCTTATTTCCATCTTGAGTCAATTTGTCTCCTTGTTTGGTTGATTTTATATATCCCATTTTCGCTATGTATCCAGTTACATATTGATGGCTGAGCCTGACCATATTATTGTCAAGCCTATACCAAACTTAGCGAAAGAAGAGCTTGGAGTTGCATTTCCTTTCTTTTATATAGAACCTAAAAAGTACGAGTCAGTTCTGAGAAAGTTCTTCCCTGAGGACAAGGGTCCAATAACCAATATCGACCCGATAGGAAATTCTCCGGTCATTGTTGGGAAGGTAAGCAGTTTGGTGTTGCTTAGTTACTATAGCAGCAATCTCTTTTGGTTTTGCCTTCTCTTGATCTTTTTTTGAACATTATTTAGGTTTCTCTTAAAAAAATTGCTCCAACTTGGATGAATGTCTCATTGGCAATGAAGGAAGATCCTGAAGCAGATAAAGCTTTTGGTTGGGTGCTTGAAATGTGAGTTTTATCCAATTTACTCCATACTTTTACCACGTTGCTTAGGTGTTGGCATTGACTTTGTTTTCTTGTTTCATGATTGTAGGTATGCTTATGCTATTTCCTCTGCCTTGCATGGTGTTGGTAACATCTTGTACAAAGATTTCATGATCCAGGTTTGATGAGACTGTCATTCATTCTTTGCCATAATATCTTCTTCACACAATACAAGATGCCAACTGTATACTCCTGATAATTTTAGGCATTTTCAACCATTTACTACTGTCAAATTTCCTGCCAAAACTCTGGGGATGAGCCTTTTAGTTTAGGACCCACATCTGGTATGCTTCTAAGAGCAAGCCAAGTTGAATGCTAGTATAAGCATTATTGTTATTTGCTAGCCAAACAGATTGGACTTTTGCAATTTGTCTATGTTGTTTAATCATAATTTATAGTAGTTAAGTCAATAATAACTTTTCTCCCTCTTCATAGTCATGTTTATGATGTTCCTGAATTCTGATTAGTTTGAGAAAAAGGCTGCATAATCTCATGCCACTCCACACTCTCTAGCCTCAAAACAATAAACTATCTTTTAGTCTTTAAAATGATGTGAAATGTGAATTTTCATTATGCCAATTATTTCCTGAATTCTCTTTGCTAACGGTTGCCTGTTTTATGACATTTATCAGCCTCCTTGGGATACAGAAATCGGTAACAAGTTCATTATTCATTACACATATGGGTGTGACTATGATTTGAAGGTAATCTATTGTACAGAAATCTCAATCATTTATTTGGAGGAAAATGCCTCTAAGTTCTGAAAATTTTAATTATGACCTATCATATCTGTTTCTGAGTTAGAAGACTAAGATGTCTTCTTTTGCTTATATTGGGAAACTTTCTGCCCCTATTTCAGGGTAGGTTAACCTATGGAAAGATTGGAGAATGGAGGTTTGATAAAAGATCTTTTGATAGTGTAGCACCACCAAGAAGCCTTCCCCTGCCACCTCCTGGTGTTCCACAAAGTGTGGTACGTTTTAAAGTGTATCCTTCTATAGCACGCATGCAAAGCAAAAGTGGAACATCCTTTACAAATGCGAAACTGTAGTTGGCCTATGCATTAAGATTTTGGTTCTTGGGAGTAAAATCGTGGTTACCATGTTAACTCCTTGTTCCTCCTACTTTGTTGGATGTTCTTATCAAACACATTGAGTTTGACGCAGGTAACACTGGTGAAAATGATAAATGAAGCCACGTCAAACATTCCAAATTGGGGGTCATAGAAGAAGAAAAAAGGGGTTGACTGCAACTGCAAGATGCTGGATGAAAAAGCTTCATTCAGTCGTCATACACATTTGGATGGGAAAAAAGAAGGGAAGAGGGTGTGCGGGGGTGTTGGGTTTATTCATGTTTATTCTGCTAGTTAAAATTGGGACATAACCTGATGAACTATGATGAGCAGAGGGAGAAAAAACTAAAATTATATATAGGTGGTCAGTCTGATCCCAAAATGTTTGTTGCTCTTCAAATTAACAAAAGCATATTATTGTTTGATGACGTTTTTTGTTTTTGATAAGAACTGGCGTTCTCAGTGATTTCTCTTCTTTGATTATTTAAAGAAAAATGAAGGCAAACTCTGCAAGTTGTAAGAAAAGATACGTATTCTTTTGCTTATCGTGGGGAAATTTCTGATATGCTTTCAAAAGAGCTTAACCTACGGAAAGAATGTTGAGTGGAGGTTTGGTAGTTTGTTGGTTTCATTAATTGAAACTTACGGCTAATCAAAAAATTTTCTTTGGTCGTGATTTAAGAATAGGATAAGAAATTATAATTTTTGAGATTTGGTTGTGGTTTAAGAATAAGTAGTTATAATTGCTAAGATTTGAATTGTAGATTTCTTGAATGTCAAATGTTCTTTATGTCACTTTCCTAAGTTGATTATGAGAAAGCTAAATGGTAGGATTTTTTTATTTCATATTTTCAAGCTTTTTCCTGAGATGTTGTGGGTTCAGTTGAATTTTTTTTTTAGCAGTTGGAACATTTCTTCATCCATGGATGACCTTTTTTTTTTTCCCTTTCCATCTTTCCTAAATACTTCTCCAAAAGGAGATGAGTTGAAAATTTTTCATTTTGTATGTTAAATTTTCAATATAATTGTATTGTAGTTATTTTTAGGTTAAATATTTAATTTATGATGTAACGTTTGAATGTTTTCTCAATAAAAGATATCATTTTTTTGTTTAATTCAATTTAAAATTAAACGTTTTCAAATTGATTTAAAATAAAAGTCTGCAACGAAAATGTGATACACGCATTATTAAAGTTCAACATTAACCGTTAAGTACTTTTTTACCAGTAAAAATACTAATTCCTTTTAAAATAAAACCCCACAGCCAAACCATCTCGAAAATAGTTCTTCAAGCATTTCCTCTACTTTTACAGTTGTCTTTGCTTTTGAATCTGTAATGGAATTGACAAGGACAAGAATGGGAAAAAATAAGCCGAAGGAAGATGATTGCAACAATAAGCTTGTGACTGAGCTAAGTAAGGAAAGAGCTTAGTCAAGCTGGAATTGAGCTGAAAGAAGAGGAAACAGAGCAAAAGTGAAGCTGAACGCTGACAAACCAGAAGTTGATTGTGAAGATACAGACAAGAAGCTGGTGCAACCATTTCTGCTGATGTGGCTGATGGTTATTGGTCCATTTGCACAAAATTTGTATTGATAGCTGACTAGTAATCTGTTGAGAGGTGTGTTACGAGCCTTTAAAAAGTTGACTGAGATTTTCAGAAAATAAAAAGAACAGAGAATAGAAGAAAGATTAGAATAGAAGAAGAAGAAGAAGAAACTTCTTAGAGAGAGAGAGTTGAAAATTGTATTTCTTAACAGCATGCTTTACAATACTTGTGCTTTCCCTTTTCAAGTTGGTCTCACAACAATGTCAACCGCAAATTCCCTACTTCCCCACTACACGGCACACTCACTCTCTCTTCCAACAAAATAACAGTTGAGCATAAAGAAAAAGGTCTCAAAGGTCTTGGCAATAAAATTGATAAAATGAAATAAGCCCAATTCAAGAGTTAAAAACAGCAAGCCCATCATAAAGTCAAATCCAATAAAATGGCATGTAAAAGTACTCCCTCGTTGAAAAACGTCCTTGTCCTTAAGGATTAATTGCGAAAACTTGTAAAGGCCAAAATAAGCACCAACACCAAGGATCTCATCCATTAGAGCATAGACTGAAGCATACTTGCTGTCAGCTTGTTTCCCAGAAATTTTTTTCCTAACTTCTGCTACATCCTGTTTCTCATCCTTGGAAGATGGTATATGCTGAACCAGCATATTAGTGAAGCTCAAGGCAAAACCCAAAAAATTCTTGGAACTACGACCTGTAAAAGTAAATCTTCTAATCTGCTTGATAATGTAACTCAAGTCACCGGGAGTCTCTCTAACGCTTAAAGCATCAAGTAGTTGTTTGTGCACACTAATAATTCGACCTGCCACTACCTTTATTTCAATCTTCCACTCATTATACATATAACTGTTCTTGAGAATGGTGTCTGCAATTGACGCACCATGAATAGGTGGATTAGAATACATAGGCCCAATCACAAGCTTCAATTGACTCTCAACCTTGCTTGCGATATCAGACACCTTACAGACAATGTTCAGAGCATCAACAAGCTCCCTATAAAGTCTCATGTTTTTTGCGTAACTCTGAGCTTTAAGGCATCCTCCACCATCTGTAACAGGCATACAAATAGGCTATGCATCTACATCTGAGCTACTGCTTGTGAACCGCTGGTAAGCATTGTCAAAGAAGGGCAATAACCCTTGAGATCTTATCAACTGTTGAATCTATTCCCATTGCTCAAGAGTTGGGTCAACACCAATTGGGTTATGAGCACACACATGAAAAAGTATCATAGCTCCAATTGGTGCTACACCAAGATCTTCTAGCGAGTCTTGGAAATTGACCCCACGAGTTGTTGGATCAAAGCAGGGACAAGTTTTCTCTAATAACCTTGCCATGGTGTAAACTTTCAAAGGGTTTCCCCATGATGGCAGCAGAATATATATAGTTTTTTTGAAGGTAATGCTAAGCTAAAAACTCAACTCTAACCTTCAAGGAACCAGAACCAAACAAGCACTGAGCAATAACCATTATGTTCTCTTGAAGAGCAGGACAATCACCACCAAAATTGAGTTTTGCACTCAATTTATTAAACTTTGTGAAACCCATATTAGGAAGATATTCCTTGCCTCTTGACTGGTCATTAACAAGAAGCTGTTCTATTTTTCGAACTACTACATTGAGAAGTAAAGGTTTTCTTTAAGAGTTCTGTAAACACCAACGCCTAAATTCAACTTCATCAGGCTTGGATCCTTGTTGTAAGAAACAATCAGCCAAGGATGGAATCTTCAGAGCTTGAAAAATGGCTATTAAAGTAGGCATATCACCAAGAATTTGAGAGAAATGCAAGGTATGCAATGGCCCAGACAAAGAAGCAGAATTCATAATTAGGCAAACCACATCTTCACCACTCCGTTCAAAAACCTCTAGCCATATAGGAGCAATTTCATTTTCAGTAAATAGGTATTGGCCAATAATATTTCTCTTTTTGGCTGTCATAGCACGGACCTTAATTTCAGTAACTCTATGGGCAATGAATGCAAACTAGGATTTGCTTTCATCATTCAGCATAGTTTCACTCGCTAAATCAACAGTAGTGTCCAGAAGTGAACAGGAGGTAGACACCTCTCTTGCCTTGGCCTTCTTAAATAATGACATTGCTTGATCAAGTATGTTTTCCTCTACAAGTGTTGATCCATCTGAATATCTTTGGATCTTGTGGAATAAAAAAATCAATTCTCCACCGAATAAGAGAACATCAACCTTGACCAATGAAGATCCGATTACTCCAATCTTAGTTGATACCTTAGAAACACCAACTATAGTAGTAATTGGATTATTAGGAATTGTCACAGATCCAACAAGATAGTCAAGTTCTTTTCGCATAAGGAAACCAGTAACTTGTGCAATAATATCAGCACCTTTACTCCTAAGTCCCATTACCAAAGGCCTAAACCGGAAGGGATCAAGGACAGCAACAACCTTCCGGATCACATTAACAACCGTGAAAAAAGTTCTAACACAATCTCCATTATCTACTAGCCCAATGTTCTTAAACCTATTTTTTTCAACAAAAGGTTGTATGTTCTTCAACGTTAGTGGACTAGCAATTGAATAATTAGCATGCTCCTTCTCCATTTCGGTAGGCAATTTAACACAATTAGACTCATTATACATTTCAGATACTAACCCAGCCTCAGTAATTGATTCAAAAGCAGTGTTATCCATTTCTAAAATACTTTCACCGTCCTATCCCCGATGTTGAAATGGATGGAAACCAATTTGAAAGAGTGTGAAGCTTCGGAATTGACAGGGTTACCACAACAACACAATCATTACAAGGTTTATCATTATTCTCTGTATAGGAAGTAGTAAAAACATCTTCTGAGTCACTTTTGTCTATTGGTGTGGTCATTGTTGGTTTCTCATCAATATGTAAAGGGGTTAGTGATAAGGGCTGTTCAGTTTGAGACTGAACATTAGATTGAATGGCAGAACTAGTGTTCGATATAGAGGGTTCTTTAGGCACATCATAAAACTAAAATTCTAAATGTTTAGCTATTTTCAAAGCATGCGTCAAGGATTTTAGGCAAAAGAATCTTATTGCTTTGGAGAGGTCAGGCTTTAAATTGTTGATGAAGAGATTGACAACATCTTCATCAATTACTTGCAAAAATTCTAGATAACCTTCGAATTCTTCATAATGCTAATCGATCGTTCCGGTTTGCTTCTAGTTCTCCAATCCAAACATAGGGTCAAAGGCCATCTGCAACAACTTCTTAAGATCTGCTTTTAGCTCCACTTGAAACCTTTCAAAGCATTGATCTAGCCTTGAATCCAGTTGCTGAACTTCCTCTTGTGGACGGGTTGTGATTTCATCGGCCATAGTTGCTATGGATGCCAAGAAAAAGGGCTGATACCACCGTTACGAGCCTTTAAAAAGTAAACTGAAATTTTCACTACTTACTAAAGAAAACTATGAGAGTTCTAACAAGTTGAACCCAAAGAGTAGCACAAACTGAACCAACTGGTAAATAAGCAACTCTAATATACCCGGCAATCATATTCAGTATTTGATGTTGGCAGCTTTGGAAGCCCCTGCATGCATGACTTCTGCCCATTAATGTGAATCCAAGCATTTAACTGCTCCAGAGGAACAAAGCATCCACTCTTTCTTCTTGACTGACCACAAATGTAGTGCCAAAAGCCATCTTGTTTGAGGCCGTTGAAACCCTAACAGAGGTGTCATTAGATCACAATATGAGTGCCCCAGTGCTGAGATAACCCAATGAAACCACCTCCACTCAGAAAATGGACAAAGTACCTCTGTTCGAGCACAGGTTGATTCTCCTTTCCTGGGAAAACTCAATTCAGCATCGGTGGGATCATTAGCAGACTCACATGTCAGGTGTGAAGCATGAAGCACACACATCTTCCAGAGAAACAGACATTTTCATTATCAACCGCTTCAACCTCACTTTGCAATAGAGCCTGAAAGCAATATAACAGACAAAATGATTAGGAAAGCCAAACACCCCAGCAAAAATCAGCAAAACCATATTTGTGATTAGGAATCTTCCCTTGTTTAATTGAAAAACAAATAGAAGTAATGAAAGGTTTAGAAAAAGCCTTATGAGATGTTTTATTACTTATAAGCATGCCAAAATACAACATTCAAAAATTTTAAAAATGTAAGGTTGCGAGAAGCATACAGCGACATTTAGGAGATAAGGCTCCTCAGCATTCATGTTATTATAAAAATGGAAGCAGCAAAGAAATTGATAGCATGGAGTTTTACAATTTTAAGCATGATAAAGAACTAGGTGTTGAAGAAATCGAATAATATAAACAACTTGAATTATACTGCAATTAGCCAGAATAAGCCGAAGTATTGCTTCATGAAGTACTAAGCAGACTCATAACTCAATTGACAATGAAAGTCTGGCTCACAGCATACAATGTAGAAGGGGAAATTTTTTAATGCTTCAAAAACTGCAGAATTAATACCTAAGATAAAAACTGATTATGCATATAATACAGCAGTAATGCAATTAAATTCAGGTTCGAGTAGAGACCTTTTGGTGAGCACACCAAGGGTGAAACTGAACTGAAAAATCCACAACCATGCACCGTATACATGAGCCACCCGGTCAATTGCAAATAAAGCAAACCTGGGAAAAATAAACTTGATGGTCGCATCAAGGAGAGGTTTATCCAAAAATACAATCAACCTCCTCAGAGCTAAATCACCATCAGATGATAAAGTAGGCAAGAACATCCTTTGTTTTTTTTGGCCGCTTGAATCTTAAGACAGATTTTCAACTATAGAACCAAACAAGCAAAGGCAGAAAAGATATTGTGCTTTTAAATCTGCAAATGAGTTGTTCATGAGGACAAGAAGGCTAAGTTGTTTAGGCTTTCTCCTTTTTGGATCATATGAGAACTACAGTTAGATGACATCATTATCAAGTGTCAACTATGAAGTCTTCCAGCAGGCAAACATCAAATTAACTTGACATTTTTTATTACAATAAATCAAATAAATTATCATTTCTTTTGCAGATTATGTGCAAATTTTAGAGATTTACTTCTTGCTGATTCCAAAATGCAAACACAAATTCATAGATTTCAGACTATGTCTATCCAACTTTGTTTAAGCATCACTCCAAAACTTGGTATAAAATGTAAGTTTAAAACATTAAGTCATAGATAATAAGTAATTGCATAAATTCTGAGCATGTTGAAAGGCAGTACATAAAGCAAAATGAAAAATCATATGGTAGCATACATCTTTAAGGAGACAAAAAGAAATTTCATATTAAATGTAGAAAGCTTGATACTACAAAATAGAGATGCTAGCCCAACATGTCGTCGGGTTCCGACCCAACCCAACCTCTTAAGGTCTCTTTTTTCTTTTTTGAAAATTGTATTTTGAGTCGGGTAATAGTAAAAAAAAAAAATTTTAAGTCGGATTTTAGACAAATTTAATCCGATTAGATATATATATATAAAAAAATTATTTTTTAATTTTATATTTATATATATTTATATATTTATTTAATTTTATATTTATATTTAAAAAAATAATATTTGATATTTTAAAAAATATTTTATTAAGTCAGGTCAGGTCGGGTACATTTTATACAATATTGAGTCGGATCGAATTTGGATATGAAAAAAAATAAAAAAAAAATCATCGGGTCGATTTCAGATATTATGAGTATAAAATCGGTTCGAATTTGGGACGAATAAAAACCTATTCTACCTCGACCCATTGCTATCACTACTATAAACACAGCCGAATTATACATATAGCATTAACATATCATAGCATCCTACCAAATCTGTATGATAAGATACAATTAAGTTTGGGCACAACATGTGAACCCATAAATATCACATCAGTGAGAAAGTAACAAACTGTGAATCTACAAATGAATTGTTCACAAGATAAAAACAGACAAATAATATGCAAAAGGTGACGAAAATCAAATCTATTTAAAGTTCTTGTTTTAGCATTAGTAGTACAGACCATCTAGAAAACATGACAACTTCCAGGGGACATGTATGAACAAAGATACAGATCAACTTTGCAAGTGCAAGCACCGTTCAGGGTATTATATATTTGCTTCAAGTAACAATAACTTACCACATTTTCTCTTGCATGTGAAACACCAGATACATCAAAAGTACTCATGGTGTCAACATTTAGGCAACGTGTACCGGGAGTCCAGAGGCCACAGACCTTATGTACCCACTGTTTGACAGTAGAATCAAGTACTCCAGCAGTTACGCTATTAGACATACATTGAATAATGCTCAAATCATTCTGCACATCCATTTTCCATACAGCAGTTCTTGACAGCCCAAGATCTTTATATTGCAAGTTACAAAAAGCATTACCAACAACCAGACTCTGATCATCTAGTATAGTTTCAGAATAACTTGTGCTTCAAGACCTAGACTCTGCTTCAATGTTCCAAGCTTTCAAATGGCCTTTTACAAATGCACGACTTCCTAATGCTCGAGTCATGGCACCACCACCATATCTACAGAGAACACACACCTAAGATGATGATAAAAAGGAGCGACTGCAAAATTAGAATCAGAAGACATTATGGAATAAAAAGAATGTCAGACAATTATGCACGTTAAAAGATACAAGAAAGATGCATTAAAATTGATATAAGAAAGATCAGCAACTATTCAAGAGTTGAAACCTACATGGAAAATCCTCAAATGTTAAAAAGTCATAATTATAACTTACAATATCTTTAGAACTTGTTTTGCATGGTCTGCAATACCAGTGGCCCTTCGGTACTTTCAGAATGCCATAGCAAGCTTGATGCACCTGTGCATCATGAAACCAGAATTAGAGAATGATAATTTAACAAATTAGGCACAAACTTGAAATGAGTACATACTCTGATCGAACAACGACTACACTCCAATAAGCAATTAAATTCATCTTTGATTGAGCTTCCACAAACACAGCAGAATACATTTGAATCGACACTGGATGAGCGCCTAAGCTTCTTGATAGATCTGTAAGGTAATTTATAATTCCATTGCAGTTAGCCATAATCAAAACTCTTGTCATTTTGAAGCTGTACAAGTATCTACCAAAAATTTGAGAAATTCTCCAAAGAAAATGTCAATCGATTCACTAGCTTACTTTTCAGCATTAATGTTGAATGATCTTTGTCCATGACATTCAACATCACTATATTTCTTTAAACCTTTCCTAACTTTCATCATAGGCATGCACTTTGAGATCTCCATAAGGGCATAACTGTCAGAACCACACTCTTTTCCTGACAATTAAGGTGGGGAAACATAAACTTCAACCAAATCAAACATCACAAATACAAATGTTTGCCATGCACATGTTGATGAGCCAGACTCATGGTGTCATTTTACTTGCAGCACATCCAAAATTATTTGCTTAAATGCTAAACAGAGAGATTTATAATGCTTCTTTTTCAACAAATTGTTTAAAAAGACTTAACACTGGCAGCAAATTTTATTAAGCGGACTAAATGTAACATTGGGCATATCATGGTCCATAGACACCCACTTTACTACCGAAGGGAACACATCGTCACTCCATCTCAAACTCCTAGACATACAAACTTGGCCTGTACAGCTAGAATGTCAAATTTTGAGGGGTTCCCATGATTGTCAACGATTAGCAATGATAGGAAACACCACCTATTGCGATGTCCAAATACAAAAAGGAGAGAAAAGAAAAGATTACTCAAATTTCTTTGAAAAGATGGTAGAAATGGAGATGATAACCACAGTGAAAGAGCAAAGAGACAACGTAAGGAAAAGGAAGAGAGGATAGGATGGATCCAGGTATTTGATACTTCATCAAAACCATACAAATAAGCTTGTAGGAGCTTGCATCCAAGTTCAAAAATACAAATAAGAGTAGGAAATGCAATTGTAAGCCAATACAATAGGTTGAACAACTGTAAATATACAAACTATGCTATGAGCATACAGCCAAAAATAAATGTATTAGTTCTAGCTGAAAGCTTTTGCTTTCCTTGCAATACCATGCATTAAAAAGGTAAAACTATTGAAGTTCATATTCTTGAGACAAATTTGAATCAATCCTTAACACCACCCACAGTATCCTTCCCTTCCCATCAAAATATAAGGAAAAATTTATATTGTTAGGATGCAACTACTATGAAATCCTTATTGAAATTTACTTTTTCCCGTTAGCTCATACAGGCTGCGTTTGCGAATTTTCTTACATCTTGTGTTCAACTGACTATAAGTAATAGCATCTGGAACATAATAATTTTTCTCGCTTCTATCATTCATCCCTTTCTCCAAGACAAAGGACTTATTATCTAATTGTTTAATTCCACCCAGACATGTCTTCTTGCCTTCTTCAACAAGACAGCCACCTACTTCATGAAAGAATGAAACATGATGACCACCATTTTCTTCCTCTTTCTTCAAACAAGAAGATAAATCAAAGTGTGCAATGCTCCTAGCTGTTCTTTTCTTCTTCAACTTCCTCAAAGTACTTTTGGGTTAACAGCTCCTTCGAAGGGTAAATTGTTCCATGTTTTTAAGAATCCTGCTAAGAGGAACAATTTTTGCAGGCCTCAATTCATCCATGGCTAACTTTCCACTGCAGATTTCACCATATTCTCCACGGCCTAGCTTTCTTACAGTCACCTCAAGACTAGAAAATGCCTTTATGCAGTGTATAGAATTGCTATTAGAAGTTTTCTCAACAGTTGTAAGAGGCTTTGGTACCCCTAAATTCTCAAAGGAATCATAAGCCCAAGCCTTCTTTAACTTTTTTCTACCTGAAACTTCAAGGATTTTACCAAACCTGCCATCACCTTTCAATTGATGATCCTCACCATCCTGATCATTACACACACCATACAAATCTCTTTTCTGAGAAACTATTTTAGATGAAGCTAGTTCTCCTGGTTGAGTCAAATGAGTAGGCCCATGTGGTTCTAAGCCTGAGAGAGTGAGGGCATCCCGATCGTTTGAAGAATGAGAGGGCAACCGAGGACTACCATTATCTATGTGACAGTGTCGAAAAGAAACTTTAGGAGGAAAGGGTTCATCCAGCACCCTAAATTTAACTGCTCTCTTTCTCTTCCCATCTTTCGAGCCTCTCTTAAACTTTTTCAAATGATTGGTCCTCCCACAACTATTAAGGCTCATATAAATTTGATTTTGACCTTTTCTCCACGTCAAGGAATCTATGAATTTAAGCTCATCAAGTAGACTAAAAGATGACTACCCCTTCAAAATTTTGAAGGATCCTTTATTTCTTATCTTATTCCTGCAAGAAACACCATGAAACTCAGCGCTTCTCTCACTATCAAGAGCATCATTTGATGAACAACATTTATCAACCCCAAATCCCTCGTCAACTACAAGGCCATTTATATATCCATTGTCCCCAGCATCGATGGTAGAAGAATCCATATTGTTAATGTGGGAAAACATTTAGTTACAACTTATTGTAATCTTGTAATCTATATATTTATATTTATATCCCTATAATTAAGTATTTGTATCTCTAAAATTAAAGACAAAAAATTAAGATAGATAATCCTTCAATTATAGGATCAGTTTTAGGAAGATTTAGTTTTCTAGTTTACCCTCTAGTCAGTTGTATATAAACCTAAGAGGCTTATATAATTCTTAAAAGTAGTTTTTCCATATACATTCAGTTTTACTCTTAGTTTTTCACACAGTTTTATTTTTTTAATTTTTCACATGCTATAAGAGCTTTAGGGTTTTCTTGAGAAGCAAAATTTTTAGCCTTCATTGCCGAACCCTGTTAAGGCTTTCATAGTCATTTTGCTTTTCCCTTTTCTAGCCTTCATTGCTAAGACTCATTTCTAGTTATATCTTAATTGTTAAAACTTGTTTCAGTTCAAAAAAAGATAACAAAATCTGTTATCGCTACTATCCAATTTGAGAAAATGCCAACTGGTGAAACAATTAGAATACTACAGATGTCTTGGAAACAAGAACACTTGGACAAAAAAGAAATTGAAAAACTTAGAAGCCTATTGAAAACTTTTGAAAAGCCTATTAGGATATGTTCCTTGGGTAAAGTCTATAATTCACATAAAGTTTTTAATTCTCAAGGATTACATGCCTCTGTTAAACCTATTATGAGTTCTTGGATCATTGACTCTGGAGCTACAGACCACATAATACATTACTCACAAAAGTTTAGTACATATACTCTGTGTCTTAGTAATAAAAAAATTATTGTTGTAGATAGTTTATTTACTACAATGGCAGGATTAGGAAATACTCAAATTAATCCATCTTTTGTTCTTAAGAATGATCTTTATGTTGCTCGATTGTCTACTAATCTAATATATATATAAAAACTTACTAGAGACATGAACTATAAAATGACTTTTCATCCCTTCCATTGTGAATTTCAGGACCAAAATTCGGGGAAGAGTATTGAACTTGCTAAGGAAAATGATGGATTATACTATCTTGAGAACATCAAACAATACAAGTAATATTAAGAATTATTTACCTTTGTCATTTCTTTCTGAAAAATCTCCTAATAAAGATAAAATCTAGCTTTATCATTTTCGTCTTTGATATCCTTCTTTTGTAATTTTGTAAAACATGTTTCCTTCTTTGTTCAAAGGATTGAATGTTGAAAATTTTCATTGTGATGTTTGTGAATTTGCAAAGCATAGACGTGTGTCTTTTTCAATTAGTAACAAAAGAAGTTTTACTCTTTTTTACTTGATTCATAGTAGCATATGGTGTCTTTCTACAATTCCTAATATTTTTGGTATAAGGTGGTTTATTTTTCTCATAGATGATTGTACCAAGGTTTCTTGGATATTTTTACTTAAATCCAAATCATATATGAATAAGGTATTTTTAAGCTTCCAAAACATGATCCAAAATCAATTTGGAGTGAAAATCAAGAGATTTAAATTTGATAATGCATGAGACTATTTCAACAAAAATCTATTTACCTATTTTTAAAAAGAGGGTATTATCCATGAGTCATCTTGTATTAATGGAGTGATAGAGAGAAAAAATAGCCATTTACTAACCACAACTCGAGCCTTACTTTTTCAAGAAAACATACTCAAATCCTACTGGAAAGAAGGTATTCTCACTGTCACACACATAAATAGATTACCTTCAAGGGTTTTGAGATTTAAAACTCCTATGAAGCTACTTTTACAATTCTATCCCAACTTTAATACCATAAATAATCTCACATCTAGGATAGTTGGTTGTATATTATTTATTCATATTCACAGTCATAATAGGGATAAGTTAGATCCTAGAGCAGTTAAATGTATTTTTGTAGGATATTCATCAACTCGAAAAGAGTATAAGTGCTATCATGCTCCTACCAAAAAACTCTCTGTGTCTGCAGATGTCACTTTTGAAAAAAGTAAATAATTTTTTGCTTAACCTTATCTTCAAAGGGAGACTTCATTCATGGAAGATAAAGATAAAGACTTTTTTTTGCTTGACTTGTCCTCCTCCTCAACCATTTCACACATTAATTTTTTTGAGTCTAAACCTATTTTCTCCACATATTCACCCATTAATTCTTCTGAGTTTAAACCTGTTTCTAATAAAGTCCAAGTCAAATACTAAATTTGAGTCTAAACCCATTCCAAACATAGAAGTTGTAACAAAGGATAATATTGTTCTTAATTCTATAAAGGGATTACAAGTGTATTCAATAAGTAAAGTTTCAGTTCATGAACCAATGCAAATCCAAAAACTTGATCCTAACTTTGGAAATGAGGTAACTATAGTCTCTGACTCTGTTTCTCAAAATAACCATGAATCTCCTAAAACTAAAACTAGTGATAATGATATGCCTATTATCATTAGGAAAAGAACCAGAGAATGTACTAAGCATCCACTATACCAAATCTTTTATTTTATGTCATTTGAAAAATTCTCACCATCCCACAAAATTTTTCTTGTGAGCCTAAATACTATTTCTACTCCAACTCTATTATCCAAGGCATTATCCAATGAGAAATGAAAGCAAGCCATGAAATATAAATGGAGGCCTTACAGAAAAATACGACATGGGAGCTGGTAAAGTTGTCTAAAGTAAAAAAATCTAGTTTGATGTAAATGGGTTTTCACTGTAAAATACAAGGCATATGATATTGTTAAAAGGTATAATGCCAACTTGGTGGCTAAGGGCTATTCTCAAACTTATGGAGTGGATTATTAAGAAACTTTTACACCAGTTGCCAAGATTAATACGGTTGGGATTTTGTTATCCTTAGCTATAAATTTTAACTAGGAGCTTCAACAATTTGATGTAAAGAATGCTTGTCTACATAGTGATTTGGAAGAAAAAATATATATGAAAGTTCCATCAGGATTTAAAGGTCATCTAGGAGCAAACAAAGTATGCAAGCAAAAAAAGGCTTTATATGGTCTTAAACAGTTCCCTAAGGCTAGTTTGGGAGATTTGTCAAAGTGATGCTAGCAATGGGATATAAGTGGAGTCAAAGAGATCATACACTATTTATCAAGCATTCGGATTCAGGGAGAGTCACAGTTCTATTAGTGTATGTTGATGATATAATTGTAACCAAAGATGATAAAAATTTTTTTCTAAAATAGTGTTTGGTTAAAGAATTTGAAATAAAAAAGCTAGGAAGGTAGAAGTACTTCCTATATATTGAAGTAGCTCACTCACGATATAATATTTTCATCTCACAATAGAAATATGTCATGGATCTTTTGAAAGAAACTGGGAAGCTTACATGTAAACCTACAAATACCCTTATAGATCCTAATCATAAACTTTGAGAAACTAATGAAGATGTTGTTGTAGATAGACAGATATACCAGAGATTTATTGGAAGACTCGTATATCTCTTACATACTAAACTTGATATAGCATATGTTGTGAATGTGATAAGTCAATTTATGCATAGTCTTAAAGAAGTGCACCTACAGGCTGTCTGTCATGTATTACACTATTTGAAAGCCAATCTTGGGAAAGGTATCTTATTCAAAAGAAATTTAGGGTTAATTCTAGAAGCATATATAAATGCAAATTATGCAGGTTCGGTAACTAATAGAAGATCTACCTCAGGCTACTACATTTTTCTAGGTGGTAATCTTGTGACTTGAAAGAGTAAAAAACAAAATGTGTTGCTAGATCAAATGCTAAAGCAAAGTTTAGAGCAATGGCTCAAGGAATTTATGAATTATTGTGGTTAAAGATTATCCTAGAAGACTTGAAGATCAAGTGGAATGAACCAATGAGACTTTACTATGATAACAAATCTGCAATAAGCATTGCACACAATCCTATGTAACATGACAAAACAAAACAAATTGAAGTAGACCGGCACTTTATAAAGGAGAAACTAGACAGTGGGTTGATTTTTATACCGTATATATCAACTAAGGGTCAACTTGCAGATATGTTGATTAAAGATCACAATAGTACAACATTTCAGGAAATTATATTCATCAACTTGAGGGAAGTTGTGTGGGAAAACACTTAGTTACAACTGGTTGTAATCTTATAATCTATATATATATATATATATATATATATTTGTATCCCTAAAACTAAGTATTTATATCACTGAAATTAAGGATAAAAAATTAAGATAGACAATCTCTCAATTATAGGATCAATTTTAGAAAGATTTAGTTTCTTAATTTACCCTCTAGTTAGTTGTATATAAATCTATGATGCTTATATAATTCTTAAGAATAGTTTTTCAATTTACATTCAATTTTACTCTTAGTTTTTTGCATAATTTTATTTTTTAGTTTTTCCACAGTTAACCTCAATTGATGCCTAGGTGACAGCAGGGGCAGAACATGGAAGAAATATTCGATATGTCCTGCCCTTTGAACAAGTCAGCTTTGTTTACAGCAGATCCAATACCATGCATACCAGTACCATGTCCAAGCTGACCTTCAGCACATCCACCTGCATCTAACACCTCAGCTGATGAATTGATAGGTGTCATTTTGCTTGCATGGAACATCTCTCCACTTAGAGGTATTACAAGCAATTCTCATAGAAATTGCCCATTCATTTTTTCTCCTTGATCCAATAATATAGTTCTTTCCTTCAGAATAACATGATCTCTAACAAACTCAGAGGCAACTAGCATAGTTGCTTCACAACAGAAACCCACTTGTTCCTTGGAGACAACATGAGAACTTCAAATTCTACACTCAGAATATCCTTCTAAGCACTTTGCATGGGCTGAGCAGATGCAGTCACCCTAAAAATATGTAGAAGGTAGTCTCTGACAACATTTTGCATGCCCACTTGATTGCATGATGCTCTCATCTCTGATAAGCCTAAAACATTAAATAAGAAAATTAAAGCTAGGAAGGATA